AAGTATTAATCGTATGACCGTCAGGACGCATGATAAAGGAAGTCTAGTGCTACAGGATATACGATAAACCAAAGTCGGTGAGAAGTTCACCAGCGTACTTTTATTCTGCTCCAGGATAATGTTTGGGTGCAGTTCAGCGGTGAGGTCAATGGAATACAAGGTAAGCCATAGAAGTTAATGCGTTAGAGCAAACCGATGAGTAGGTCCTAGTAAAACCTAGATAGTGGCAGGGCACGACCAAGAAATCCGACCAGATGCGGATCTCACTCCACTTCAGTAACTGGAATGAATTTGTTTTACCCACTAACTAGGATCCAGCACCCCACTCAAGGCAATCCAACTTACGGTCGGGGAAGCAGTTGAGGCGCAATCGTGTATCCGGATTAATAAGTAAGCCCACAGGCTAACGCCCTAGGGCAAGCAAAGCTCAAGGAGGCACGCAGTGGTTAGCGGCGAGAAGGTTACGATCACCTTAAGTACCTACTGTAGACGGAAGTGCTCCGTGTAACTCTTACTGCGGATCTCCTGTTTCTTGTGGTTGCCTGGCCGGCGTCTGCCTACTGTACGCTCAAGGTGAATAGATGCTGTGGCTGCTGCACGATGGTTGCAGAAACATATTTGCCCGCTGGTCCAGGCTTGCCAGATAAAAGTGGATGCCTCACATGTTCCTCAGAGGGTGCACTACTACAAATGCTCCGGAATGAGACAATGATCCATACGCTGACCGGATTCATGACGACCAGGTTTTTTGAAGCCGGTGGTGTGCATCATGTTCCATGAAGGCGAGCATGGTAACAACATCGTCTCAGCTTTCCGTACACTTGCAGTCAACTATGAGTCATCCAAGGCGCGACGGACCAAAGTCATCCGCCAGGATGAGGAATTCTCGAGGAATCCTCAGGCTACCTTGTGTCTCAAATTAGGGAAGCCGTCAATGAACTGCGATAGCAGGACGCAAATGACGCGACTCATCTCTGCACTCTGTATTCTTGCGAGATTTTTCAGTTCATCATTGATTATCAGGTACTGTTTAGAACCTAAACAGATGCATGGTTAGTAACAGAGATACAAGAAGCAGAGAATAGCATATTCGGTTATCAACCGTCATGAGAAGGTCACATCACGGGATGGAGTGGTTGTGTGGTAATTCTCTATTCTAGTTCCTGCCTGATGCTGCACTTCAGCGTAGCTGGCTGCAGCAACGCCGGTCTGAAGGTGAAACTACTTGACTGTGAACGTTACCGAAATTGCTCGTCTTCACACCGGCTCCATTTAATTTCCATGACCTGAACGTTGTCCAAATACTCGGCCACAGTGACTGTTCTACAATAAACTTATTATAGCGTTTCCCACCTTGATCGGAAACGCTTGCTCACTAAGAAGCTTCGCTCGTACCTGTAGGGAACCATGAATGCTAGCAGTGTTAGCCATGCACCATCCTGCCCGTTAACGACGGCAAATGCGCAGTAATGAGGAGCAGTTTAGCACAATATCCTCCGCGGGTTACCGTGTCATTTGACCTTAAAACTGCCCAAAAGCCCTGAGAAAGGTCGCCGCCGCAATTGGCATGCTTGGTGCTAGAAGAAGTTCAAAGTGATTGCTGGGAATCCGTCAGCAGTGTCCTTGTATCGCGTACGCTATTGGACTCAGGAAGCTGAACATACTCGCAATGGATAATTGTTGACACCGTGGAAACCTCATTTGGACCAGTCGGATCCTGATGAGAGAACTTGGCATGGAGGGACAAAACACTCCGGGCTGATCATTTACGTCTGCACACCAGGCCACACAACTTTGATGGAACCAACGTTGGCTGACGTCACACATAACCCACCGTACGTCATTATCCACGGTCGCATCATCCTTCTCCTTCAGACAAACTACGCATCCGTTTAATACGAACTGCTCCGGTGTCCTCCGCCTCCTTTTTCCGCTTTAGTACCCCCGGACGTGGTGGGGCCTACAAGCCTAACTTGCAAAGGACGTGCTGAGGTGTATTGAGCAGGAACCTCCGTCACTAGCAGTTGAATGGGAGATTTCAAGTTGGCGGTGCCAAGAGACGCAGGTTTCGCATTCTCCCTGTCGGGTTCCCCTGACAAAACATCCTCCTGCACGCCACGCGCAGCAACGTGATGCTGTACGGAGCATGTGCTTGCCACACGCGCTGCAGCATTTGGCTGTCCACATCTCGCCGTTCTGTGACACGCGTGTTCTAGTAACCGATGGTACCAGTCATCCACGTCCAATGGAAGAGGATCACTACAGTGCCGCGTAGTGCAGTAGAGGGAAACATCACTATCCTCGGACGTCACCTCAGCCAGCCTCTTTAGTCTCCTCAGTATCGTGTCATACCGTGCCGATCGAAGGCTGCAAACCTGCATATTCAATTCCGTCATCACCTCTGACTTGCGAAGTTTAGTTGTCCTGTCCATTGCGCATAGCTCAAGCATATCTCCAGCATCAGCAAAAGTCTACTCGCTAACTCCCACAGCCTCCGGGGTAAGTTCCCCGGCTGACTGCATAGAGCATTTCATCTGCAAGCTCCTACGATACTAGCCATAGGCATTCCCTTCCTGGCGGTCACACGGCACATGTGCGCACACGGCATTCGCCATTGCAGCTGAAATTCACATTCGCAAGCGGCCTCCTTCACTTAATATCGCCGCCTCCTTTAACCCCTGATGCATTCTAGCACGCCGTGCGTGCCGGCCCCCATACAACGAGGTAATCCAGCAGTACTCCAGTGCCCCAGTAACTGTTTACGAGCGTAGGGAAAAACCGGGTAAATATGGGGATTGGTAAGGACAGCTCGACAGGTGGAACGTATGGCGTAGCACTGGGTCTCCCGATCACCAATCGCCGGTCTTGTATCCACGAACTAACTTGCTCAGTAATCGCAGTGAATAACGACCTCAGGGACGACTGCTCCGTCAACTCCATCTTTATATGTTTAGTTTCATTCTCACATCTGTCCGTCGTGGCGTAACCGAACAAACTTACCGAAATCTGACGATCAGCCGCCCATGAGGATGACCACGGAAGCCATGTACACCGCACGTACCAGTACAATTCCTCATTTTTGTCTGCAACCGCTCTCAGAATCCTGCTGAAATGTCCATCAACACTTGTGTAAATCAAAACTATCACCCAGTGCGGAAGGAGGTTCTTCACCCCAGGGCCCAAGCCAGTCCGTTGTGCACACTGTCGGTACCTATCCCGCATAACTTGAAAATGGCAAACTACAACCGCCGCGTTGTGATACGCAGACGTCAGCGAGCCAACCTGCGCCATGCACTTCTCCATTACCAGTGTTTGTGCTGACGCTGTGCAAGGCAACTTCTCCTTCATAGCTTCCACCGCCAGCCTGTAGCTGTACGCCACCTCATTGGCAACAACGTGCTGCGCCAGAGTATGTAGTCACCATAATGCAATTGGTGCGTTGCATCCGCCAACAACGCATCACAGTGCCTTGCAGCTATGGTGTACATGCAAGACAGCACAAAAAATACATAGCTAACTATGATTCCCTCTATCACTACCAGACATGTGCCATACTTCTGCAGCAATCCCGTCACCTCGCACACCTCCCCGCCTGCTGCTTCCGGTGACGCCTTGTCACCGTCGTTATGTAGTCCGCCGTCAACACTCGTGCATGCTTCCGGTTGCTGTAACGAGGAATCTCACGGGTACTTATAAACACTGACATAAGACTCACAACACCTTGCTCTTCAAATTCCGTCAAGTGACGATTCCGAAAATACAGCCACGGTGTGCCCAACCGAAAATCGAGATCATGCCATAGATCCACTTCAACACGCTCATAATAATCACACCTCAACACGAAGGAAAGCTTGGCTTTGCAGTCCAGCACCCTATAACTATTTGGTCATTTTAGAGCATTAACGATAGAAAACAAACCGTTATCACGAACGTTGCTACGCTTACCATGCACACACTGGTACTGCACGTAATGGTACGGATACCCTTCCGACAAATCCACCCCGTTGTCCGCTTGTAACGATTTCCAGTAACCACTGTCCGCTTATATAAGGAAGTCATAATAGCCTGCTGAAATTTCTTCACATCCTGCTTTGCGAATAGCATCTCACCAAACGACACGCAACAGTTCCTAATTGCACTTCGGTATTCACTTGAACGACAACAGCTGTGTTAACATTCACAACCTTTTATATAACCACATACCCTAATTCATCATGTACCTCTTCATTACACACCTTATTAAGCGACATAGACAACTTGCAGCATAGCGTACCATACCACCCTCACCATATTATGCACGTAAAAGATGGGTTAGAATTTCCGTCGGCAAGGAGTCTCGGAGAGGCAAGTATTTATAAGGGCGGGAAGATTTTCGCGGCCATTGTCCAGTGCCATCCAAGCTAAATAAATAAATAAATATTTTAGAATCGACGAAGCGAGTTACGTCTTTTGGACATGATCAGCATATTGCAATGTTGTACATGACAGCATGATTAGCAGCACCAAGAGCTAGAGTAGTACAGTTAGAGACAGTAGTGTGGGCCCATATGGACCAAAGGTTGTACGAAGTCTATGTCCACAGAATGCGAGATGTAGAGAAAAGAAACAGATCACTAATGTGGAGCATGTTGATGAGGAACTAGTCCGATTAGGCTGTGCACACAGTGCTGGTCAGCTAAGTGAAACATGGGGAAAAAGTTGAAAAAATGCTTATGCATAGTGGCATGGTACTAATCAAACATGTAGGCGTGCTCCTACAAGAGCAGATATATGCACAGAATATGTAAATGTGGTATCGGTCCACTTGCCAATGTTTGTTAGGGGCGGTGACTTTATTGAGTAGCTAGTCACATCCGCCACGTCGCAGACATTTGTGGCTTTTAGTAGGGAAAATGCTTTCCAGACGAAGACCCACCACGTCCTGGAACACTGCCGACTTGTGATATGATATTGAAAAGATTGCATCTGACCGATTACCCTCGCGGATATTCGCAGTCACCTTTCGCCAATTTGTTTCGCATGGTTGTGTAGTGTAGCCGGTCCGCGGGCGTCACGGTAACACGTTAACAGGTAAGAAGTCGATCGGTTTTGCTTACTGTTATCATTACCCTCATATTCCTCTCCGGCACTCTTCCTTTCCTCTTCAGTGCTTCCTTAGCTGCTTCCTTTACATCGGCCTCTTACTAGGCGGCTCGAGCGTGCAACCGTCTACGAGGTATTTATTTTGTATTGCAGCTTGTCGCACTACTTGGACACGGAAGAGCTCAGAATGCCGGACCGAAGGAATATTACAGTAGTCTTCGGCGTCGACCGCAAGTGGTCGAAGCTGTTAAGGTCAGGTCAGGTCAGGTCAGGTCAAAATCCGTGGACGATACAGGCTTCCGCCTAACGAGCGTCCAGCTTCTTGTACCGGTAAGCGAACCAGAGCCCCCGATACTTCGACTTTTGATCGCCTCTCCTTGCCTCTGCAAAAAGAAATGAAGCGAAAGCGAGAGCAATCTTTGCTTTTACAAGGATCAACATCGGATAACAATGCGAATAAATTGGATAGGATTATATTAATTCCGGAAAAATACGCGGCCAGCACCTGTCTAGGCCTGCTTTGAAGGCAACCACAGTCTCACAATCCATTAGTTCCGAAGGCAACTTATTCCAGTTACGCACTACACGATTTGAGAAGAACTTAGCCCTGACGTTCAGTCTAGCTCTCTGTTGTTTGAGCTTCAAGCGATGTCCACGCAAGCGTTCAGAATCAGCCAGCTCAAATAAATCAGAGGGCACGATGGCACTGAAGCCCTTCATGGTCTTAAATGTTTCTATCAGATCGCCTCTCAGTCTACGCCGTTCAAGGGAAAACAACCCCAGGCTCTTTAGGCGATCTTCATACGGCTTCCCCCGTTGACCTTCAACCATCCTGGTTGCTAGTCTTTGAATCTTCTCCAGGCAAACAACATCATCACGGAGATAGGGCGACCAAGCTTGAACACAATACTCTAAGTGTGGCCTAACCACTGCTTTGTATAGTGGCAGGAACACTTCTGGCTTGGTATTACACAGAGCCCTCCTGAGGCGAAACAATTCTCGTCGCGCTTTGTTGGCGGCGTATCGACATTGCATCGAGTCAGGTGACTTGTATTGATTTGGTTTGTTTTCTGGGTTCCTATAGTGTGTCAGGATTGTGAAGTGCTTGTAGTTTCCTTGTTCTGTATTGATTCCGTGTCCATGGGAGCGTCGTAGTTATGTCCTCAGAGATGTTCCATGCAGATATTATTATCCTTTAGAACAAGGGAGAGAAGAAAAACAGACCGAGCAGACTGCAAAAAAATTAAACAGAACTATGTTAATGTATAAATATAAAGGCGGTAACGTTAGGATGGTTAAAGCAATGGAATGACTGTACATGTTATACATCGTATCCGTAGTTTTGCGTGCCAGCACGAAACCCGGTATTTGCTGAATAAGAGAAAAATGCTACCTGAAGTGACCTAGTTTACGCAAAAGTTGTCCGGTGTGAGAACTGTATCAGGCATTTTTAACCGGCAAATGAGTTGAGGGAATCAGGACTTAGTGAGTGGTTTACTATGCGCTTACGATGTAGGTTGAGCGATCGGTTGACAGTGGTAGAGCTTGTCGTTCGAACATGTATGAGAGCCAGTGCAGTTACTACGCCGGGTTGGAGACCCATGAAAATAATAACGTAACATGTTCAGTAATCGGGTGGGAGTCGGGTTAATTATGAGGAAGAAACCGCCCGCTGATAGGCCTTCAGCGATAACAATAGGAGCGAAAGTGTTTGAATAATACGGCTTTAGCGAGAAAATCGTTGTAGAGCCAGCGCTGAAAGGGACCAGGAATATCAGTAGGGTGAGCAGTAGCCCCAAAAGATGCTAGGGGTGCCACTCTAAGGTGGACATCCACGGTGGAACGTTGAAGTCAAATAGGCTGCTAGTTATAACTCACTAATTAGTGAGTTGCTGGCAGCCTGATTAATTAATATACAGGAGCGGCACGCTTTATTAGGCTCGGCATAGACTGATAGGTGTACAGTGTTGAATACAAGAGAGAACAGACAGCAATACTTGCAACAGCTGTAGAGAGAAAACGACAGTAGTGCCGGCTCTGGAAGTGACCAAGGGTAAGGGAATAATACAGACAGCACCGCCAAGTGCTAAGTGTTTCACCCGAAGAGTTGCGATATTGACCAGAAGAGGTGCCGAACAAGTATACAGTAGGGTATGGTTAAACATAGGAGTGGATGAAAACCGCAAAAGTTCAAGTGCTCAGAATTTGGTGCTGGTAGAATAACAAAGACAACAGTCCGATAGACGGGGATATGAACACCACAAAGAGTATGGCAGCCGATGCGCAAAAGAAGAGGCCCTGGGTTGAAACCTATGGGCACTTAGAGCCTCAGAGACCGGACGGGTCCAAAAGGCTTAAGAATGAGAGACAGTAGCAAAGAGGATCTAGCGAGGCCTGGGATGTTGCGCTGACGCTAATGGTACCTATACCACCACTGAACAGTTGCGATATGGACCAAAAGAGATGCAAAATCAGAGGGGGATACGTTCGTGTGCGCTGAGCAGCATGATAGTGGAGCCGAGAGGCAAAACTCAATCTGAGACCGGAAATTTCAATTTCAATAGGCGAGACCAAGCATACAGATAATGACTCAGACAGAGACAAGTATCATGAGGCCGTTACGTATACCCATGAGAACCTTAGACAGTGGCAGCTGGTGCTCAAAAGAAGAGAGGCCTTGATTTGAGACCTATAGGCATTTCGAGCCTCAGAGACCGGATTGTTCCAAAGCTTTGAGAATGACGCACGGTAGCAAAGATAATCTAGCAAGGTCATGGATGTTGCGCTGACGTTAGTGGTACCTATACCACCATTGAACAGTTGCGATATGGACCAAAAGAGATGCCAGGACAGTAAGGTCGAAGAACGGTTTGAGTGAGTTGTCCGCTAATGTGCGCAGTTTGCGGAACAAATTGGACGAGATTCAACTTCTTGCCATCGATAATCACGCTGATTTGATGGCTTTTTCTGAGACGTGGCTGTCCCCGAACATCCGTGACTCGGAAGTATATATCCCTGGATATCACTTCTCCCGGGCTGATCGCCACGGAGTGAGGTCAGGCGGTGGCGTTATACTCTATTGGAGGGAGAACCTCAAGGCACATTTGCTTGATGCTACATGTGATATAGATGGTGGCTTCGAAGCTCTGTGGTGTATTCATGACGGGTGTAGATCTCTCCTGGTCTGTGTCGCCTGTAGATCTCCCTTGGGTTCGGGAGCTCTTTTGCTGGATTCAGTTAAATCGCACGCCAAAGGTAAGGACTGCTTAGTTGTTGGAGACTTCAATCTACCTGGTGTTGAGTGAGACCTGCTTTATTGTGGTCTTCCTTCTGACTCTTTTGATGCCCTCCTTCAGACCGTTCTCGATTGTAACTTGTTTCAGCATCTATTTTCACCCATTCGGTTGTTCTCAGGCCACACGCCGCACATTCTTGATCTAGTGTTATTCCCCATGCCGTCAGATGTCAGCGACCTGGTTGTTATGCAACCTATTGGTAAGAGTGATCACTGTGCTATTTCCTTCCAATGGGCAAGTCGATTTTCTACTCATGACCAAGGTGATTTCCGGCGTAATTTCTGGCGAGCCAATCCGCAGCGTCTGCAGGAGGCTGCTTCTAACATGGACTGGACCATTCCTCATTTTTTGTGTGTTCACGATGCTTGGACTCACTTTTAATCCCACATGATGTCGCTAATCAACCAGGTTGTTCCTATTTCTAAAGGTGGTGGTCTAACAAGAGGTCCTCTTTGGATTGATAAACGTTGAGGTCTCTGATGAACAAAAGACGCAAATTATGGGATCGATTCAAGTGTGCACAATCGACGGCCGACTACTTGCAATACAAAACGCTTAGGAACCTTTGTATCCTGAAGAAGCGGGCGAACCGCCAAAACTACGAATTTCAATTGGCTGTGCAGTCCAGGTGCTCCCCCAAAATGTTCTCATATCTGAAAAGGGGTACCAAAGGTGGTAATGGCATTCCATCTCTGTATTCCAGTAAACACGCCGCCTTACTTCAGGAGGATGCTGCGAAAGCGGATCTCTTAGCTCAACAGTATTCATCCATTTTTACAAATGAAACTCCGTTTTCTGACGTAGTACTCCCGTGCTCATCTTTGCTGGATCATCTTGAGATCAGTACGGAAACTGTTACTCAATTCCTTCTCCAGTTAGATTCGAATACCTCGCCTGGTCCTGATGGCATGCACCCACTGTTTCTCAAGACCGTGGCTAAGTACATTGCAGCCCCAGCTTGTCATACGTTTCGCTGCTCTATTGAATCGGGACCCCTTCCATCAGCCTGGGAGCTGGGCATTGTTAAGCCCATATTTAAAGGAGGGAACCGACAAGTCCCAGCAAACTATCGTCCCGTTTGCCTAACATCAGTAATGTGTAAAATTATGGAACGGATTCTCAAGCGTGCTCTCAGCCTTTACTTCGACGACCGGAATGTGATTTCTATTGCTCAGCATGGCTCTCCTAACTCACGCTCGTGTACCACCAATTTGTTAGTTTCCAGAGAGAAATGGGCGAACTCACTGGATGCTGGCAAACGTATGGACGTTATCTACGTTGATTTCAGCAAAGCGTTTGACAAAGTTTTTCACGAGCGGCTTTTGTTCAAACTTCAAGCAATTGATGTCTCTGGAAAGCTTTTGTCGTGGATCTCGGATTTCCTTTCAGACCTAGTTATGCGAGTTAAGGTCAATGATATCTATTCATACTCCGTCCTTATGAGCAATGGCGTTCCTCAGGGCTCTATTTTTGGACCAGAGTTGTTCGAATTTTTCATTAACGACCTTTCAACTCTCCGGACCGAATGCTTGATCTATGATGACGATTTGAAGTTATGGATGGAGGTAACCAGCGCTGAGGATGCTGACCGCCTCCAAAATACACTGGATCGGCTGCACGATTGGTCACTTAAATGGCAGTTGCCTATAAATCGCGATAAATGTTCTGTACTCCCCATTTGTGCTACTGAACCATTCGGTTTTTATCACCTTGGTGGTTATTTGCTTAATAATGTGCAAAAGGAAAGAGACCTTGATGCTCTTGTATGCTGTGATCTAAAAATCACCCAAGATACTTTGAAGAAGGTTTATCAAGTAAACAGGCTATTGTGTTCTATCCGAAAAGCCTTCTCACGATTGACGCCGGAGATCTTCAGACTTATCTTTTCCTCCCATGTGCGTCCAATTCTCGAATATGGATTACCCGCAGTTCATCCACTTACAAAGCTTGAACATG